CCCAGAGTTACGCGATCCCCTTTTGCGACCTTCTGACCAGCAAAGTCAATGGGGAAGCCAGATTCATTTAACGACCGTGTGACTAATTTAACAACTGCAGTGATTCACTTAACCAAGGTGGCAAGCAAAAGTCGTAAAGTGGAGCAAAACTCACTTAACAAATTTCTCACTTAGCAACATAAATCCTGGGCTTAATGGCGGTCATAAGTCGAGGACTACCTGTATTCCTGCAGTACCTCTCCTAAGGAAAAAAAGCGGATTGCGTAATGTTTTTCTCTGGTTAAAACAGTTTTGGAATGCTGTTTCTTTCTTGCAAAATGTCTCGGAGAGATAATGATGCTTAATATTTTTTTTTCCTGGTGTCTATTTCCTAGGGAGCTGTTTATTATGTATACTGAAAAAGGCTACATATAGCGGTTAAAAGGCTTAGGTTGTGTGGACTAGTGCTTATTTAATTTAATTGTGTGCAAACAGTTTTTAGTAAACTTTTTTTTATCTAGCACGCTATGTTTAGTTTATAGAATTAATATTTGTCAAAGAGGAATTTAGTTACTTGGAAAGGTAAACATTGTAGAATATGTGCTGCCTTAAATTTTAGCTATGGAAAGTCTCATAGTTCTTTTTTTTTTTTTAAATGTGATTGGAAATCCCAGCTCCCCGATAGCTATATTTTTGGTTTTTTGAGAGGAAAATTTCATAATTCATTTTTTCCCCCTTTAAAATCATTTTGTGAGTGGCTCCTTAAAAAAATTAACCCGAATAATATACTTCAACTTGAATACTGTATTTTAACGTTTCTGTGCACGAGGATTGAAAACTTGCCATTAAATTTCGGTTTCTTTGGAATTTGTGTAGTTCTGCATTGTGGATATTTTGGAATGAGCAGCCCAATTATTTTTCCTCTCCTTGACCAGCTAAATTTCCATATCCTCTTTGTAACTGCTGTCCGATTCAGCCTCTGTCTAATGTAATGCTAGTTTCTAAAGAGTTCTTTTGCTTAATCTTCTTTCTTATTCATACAATTCGCTTTTCTCTAATAGTGATTCTTTTTATATTACATGTAACCATAGTAATGAGAATTGGAAGCAGTTGTTGCTAGGTACCATATTTCAATGCCTTCATTTGCGTATTTCAATAAGCAGGCCTCTTTGCCTAACAAATATAGTAAAGATAGCAGTTAAATCATGAGTTATATAATTAAGCCCTTCAATCAGTTGAAGTTTGGAATTTCAAAGCAAGAGGCTAATTTGCCTATTTAATAGGGTTTCTAGCCTTATTTGGTTCATTCAATTCAGTTTCTGATGGCAGCAAATATGCAGCACTGATTTCATATCAAATAGATTTCCTGACCCTAAATAGTTTTAGCAAAATGTAGATTCCTTTGAGTTTGTGCAATTAAAATAACAGCTTTTGATGGATAAGATGCTGAAGCTACCAAGATAGTAATTTGCATTTACTTAGAATTTTAATAGAGATTCTGCTCTGGAATGACTCTTCTAATGAGTTACCTGTTTGAGTGTGTGTGGGTGCTTGGGAGAACATATAATGACATAAAATGGGACTGACAGGAGGAATATAAAAAGCTAATTATTAAGCAGTAACAACCACATATTATTGTACCTTTAGTTAAATTCCAAAATCCTTTTTAAATGTTTTTTCCCCCTGTATCTGTAAATCCAGTGCTTATGTTTAACAGGAACTTTTGGCTATTCATAAGCTACACAATGTGCAGTTTGTGAAATGCAGGAGTGTTTAGTGTTCTAAAATACAGTTAATCCTCAGTTTATGACCACAATTGAGCCCAAAATTTATGTTGTTCAGTGAGAAATTTGTTGCGTGACTTTTGCCCCATTTTATAACTTTTCTCACCACCTTTGTTAAGTGGATCACTGCAGTTCTTAAATTAGTAACAGGGTCACTAAGATAATCTGTCTTCCCCCATTGACTTCATTTGTCAGAAGGTCGCAAAAGGGGATCACATGACTCCGGGACACTGCAACCGTCATAAATGTGAATCCAGCATCCGAATGTAAATCACATAACCATGGGGATGCTGCAAAGGTCATAAGTATGAAAAATGGTCATAAATCACTTTTTTTTTTCAGTGCCGTTGTAACTTTGAACGGTCGCTAAATGAGCTGTTGTAAGTCAAGAGGTACCTGTACACCACCTTCTTCAGACCCTCCATTTCATAGACAAAATCTAACAAAAATGGCTTGTAGTGAATTCCAGCAAAGAATATGCTGGAAGTCATTGGACAAAGCATTCATAAGCTACAGCAGAACAGTCTGATGGCTCCGATCAGCACATCAAGGCCACGGTGGTATGCTTGAAAACAATTGATAGTCAGTGAATAGAAGGAATAAGAAGAACACTTCGCAGAAAGAAGAGTGGAAGGATAAGGAAGGTAGAAAATGAAGTGTTCTTAAGGACAGTGAATCATAGATATAAAAAGAGAAAAGCTTAGCAAACAATACACCCACCATCTACCATGAGTACCATTTTATCTCCTGAGTACATGCTTTGAGAAATTATGTAAGAATTTAAAAGGTTCTATCGTTACTTATTATGGGGGAAAAAAGCAGATAGCTGAAATATTGCACTAGAGAGATAAGGGATTTTCTTTCTTTTCTTCTCTTCTCTTCTCTTCTCTTCTCTTCTCTTCTCTTCTCTTCTCTTCTCTTCTCTTCTCTTCTCTTCTCTTCTCTTCTCTTCTCTTTAGCACTTAGACTTATATACAGCCCTCTCTAAGCGGTTTACAGAGTCAGCATATTGCCCCCAATAATCTGGGTCCTGTCCTCCCCTGTCCTCTCCTCTCCTCTCCTCTCCTCTCCTCTCCTCTCCTCTCCTCTCCTCTCCTCTCCTCTCCTCTCTGAATATGCTGATTATATGAATGCAGGTAGTTCTTGACTTGAAACCAGTCTCTTAACCATTTGAAGTTGTAACAGACTCAAAAAAAGTTACTTGTGACTCTTGTTTGAAATTATGAGTGCTGCATCTCCCCCGTGGTCCCACGATTGCATTTTGGGTACTCAGCAATAGGCATGCATTTATGAGCAGTTGCTGTGTCCCATGGACACATGATCACATTTTGCAATCCCCCCCCCATTTTCCGTCAAAAAACCCCACTCATTGGATAAAATGTATTTTTCTTCCCCTTTTCACTTTCTTTCTTTGCTATTTTATTTTTAAGACTATAGGGAGGTTAATCTGGCACTCTTATTTGGCTAAACCCAAGTATTTAGACATTTAGAAACAAAACAATAAACGAGACGAACTGCTGCTCAAATCTAGATGTTATGCAGAGCAAGGTGGAATTCTTGGTTGCCAGAGAAGACCATCAATCTACTGCATTGTTTTAAGTACAGAATAAAACCAAGCAGACACCAATTCAGAAACAAAATAAACGGTAATGCAAGCATGTACATAATCCTTTTTTAAAACTTGAGAAACTGAGACAAAGTGACTGAAGAAATATATTAAAAGAGACAGGCCAACATGGTCATAAGCGTGAATCCATTCTCAGGCACCGGTTTTTAACATCGTTGTCATCCGTTTATAATGTTGTGATGGCAATGGGTTTCTTAGGAAGGGCTGACTAAGCTCTTAGAGCCCAAGGTTGTTCCGTACATCATAGCTTGTGCCTGCTTATTTTAAGTAGCTAGTTATGTTAAGAGAATATTCAGTGAAGTCATCTAGCTACCTGAAGTTACTAGGATAATTAATATTATGCAAAGCATTTTGGAAACAACACTTTTGTGTTATTGTATTTTTCTGGCTATAGCAAGATTTTCCCCATAGAATCAAAGCTGTGCTCAAATTTATCCTGAAATGAAGGAATATCATGTATAAGAGGTTTTCCCCCCTTCTCTCTCTCTCTCTCTCTCTCTCTCACACACACACACTTTTAATTTTGGGCAGCAGAAGGATTCTGGGATTTTTATTCCAATCCAATGCCCCTTTTTGCTAAGCTACATTCTTTCAACAGATTCCTAACCTCGGCCTTATAACCAACATGGTTTGTTTTTAATTAGTCACAATTTAGCAAAAGCCAAGAACTCGGTGTTCTGTCAAGGCTGAATTATCTGTATTATGTTTATAGGAGGTCCTTTGACTGGATTTGAAGAGGAAGTATGCTGACAAAGCTGCTAAAGAAAAATTATAGTACCGATGTTCCGTAGATACATATGGTATTATTCATCAAGAGATGATAATTAAACAATTTATTTTCAGCTGCGCTATTTGACTATTTGTGCATTGTTGGTTATTTTTATTATAAAATGGAAGAAGATGCAATACTGTATATGTTGCACATTGGACTAATCTGAAGTAATCTGCTAGCAGGATCCACATGACAGAATTTACTTGTTTTTGGGATAGTTTGTTACCTATCCTCACCTTTGGTTTGTATATCATGATTGATAGTGCATTAATCCAGCCAACTGTGTCTTAATCAAACCATGGTTTAGTGCAAGGAAACAAACCATTCGCTTACTGGAAGGTGTGTTTAACAGATAAGTCCATGTGAAAGAATAATTTTAATTAACTGATTTGAAGAGATAAATCACATGTTATTAAAAGATAATAAGTTCATCACAGAAATGGATTCTCCTACCCATTAAGATTGTAAGCCTCAAAAAACTGAAACCCATAGCCACAAACATGGAGTTTGGGGATAGAGTTTGTCCACATGTACAAGCAAGGCAGAGGACATGGGCTAGCGTCCACAGGATTGATTTTAGTCATAAAAATGAGCGGAGCATTTTCGAAGCAAGAACATATTTTTAAGTGGCTGAGATTGTTTGAGCTGGAGAAACAGAATTTACAGCCATTTACTATCTGCATACAAGAGTAGAAAAATACATGGTGCAAATCATGAAGAGTGCTGGCTCTTAAACTGAAGAGATTCTCCTGGATCTGGTTGAAGTAGCTGAATATTTGTAATTATTCTTTGTGAACAGCTTTGCCAATAAGTCATTTTCTGTTGTCACTATCTCTAGTTGCTAGACCACAATGGAACATAAGGGGACAGTGGACCCGGAAGATGATTTGGCATTATTACCACGCCTTGTGCCTAGTCCTCACAGTGAAGCAGTGGCCCACGAATTTCAAGAACTCTCTTTGCAACCAGACCAATATTTACCTCCTCTCAATGAAAGGAAGAGTGGTAAGTACGCCGTATGGCTGATGCCATGCTTAATATTTTGATCTAAGTCAGCCATTCTTTGGGTTTATGCCCATTTCCAAGATCAATGGCTCAGTGTTCTATGATGTTGCAGAAAATGGGTCACGTTACTCTGTCATAAACATGGGGGGATTTCCAGATGCAGCAATCCTCCAGTGCTTATATATAATGTATTAATTACTCATTTAGGCAACGCTCAGCTAATGAACACTCCCTATATTTTAATATCCAGTTTTGGAATGTTCGTTTCATTGGTCATTTATAGAACTTAACGGATGTTTGTTTTCATGTCTTCCTTCACTGTTTCTTTTGGCAAGAAAAACAGGAGGTTTAATCAGGGCATGTCTAGTCTGAAAACTGAATATGTTTCCATTTGGTGTGGTCTTCATTCTTCACATCTGTTTGGGAAAACACACACTTGCCTATGTGGTCTTTTACTGTTGCATGCTTATCTGGTGATTTCCTATGAAATATCAGGGTTTGTATTGGAAATCTCCATGACGTCAGATCTTCCAACTTTGCCTATTCCTAATAGTGAATTTAATTCTGTTTCTTTAACTACCTTTTTAATGTATCTCATGGAGGTAGCTGTGAAAGAAATTTCCAGGGAATTGGAAATGATGTGTTAAAGAGGAGTAATAAACTTCCGTTTCTGTGTCAGCTCAACAGTGGTGAGACAGTAGTCTGCACCAGTGTGGCTGATGCTTTCATTAAAGTCAGATAGCAGTAGTGCATGTGATGTAGTAACTGTTTTAGATTGTGGGACCATGATTTTATTTATGTCCCATTGAAAACATTTTAATGCAGTCCTCATTCAGTTATCTTCATCTTCTCAGATAACACCAAAGATAATATAGTTCTAGAGCCTGTTTTTAAGGAGTCAATATTTACTTGAGAATGAACCATTAAAACAATAGTCCTGCATAGCTTATTGGGAAGTCTAACTAAGCAGAGGGAACCAATTTGCTTATAACTGCAGTATTTCTAATATTCCTTGGCTTTGTCCTCTTCCAGCAAAGGGAAGTTGGCTTTGCTCAAAGAAGTTCTAACAAGTCCATTCAGATCTTGAAAATGTTTGCTTAGAATGTATAGCTTATAATTGGCAATGTATCCTAAACTCTCTGGATTTCTTCCAGTAAGCTTTTCATCCTAGTTTTCAAGCAGGTTTTATTATAATCTCTTTTGCAGCCTGAAATGGATTATTCATCCTTTGCTTGTTGTGACTTGATTTTTCACTTCATATTAAGAATCAACAGTTTATTATTGGGGGAGAGGGGTGGTGACAAAAAACCAAAAAAAAAAAAAAAAAAAAAAAACCCTCAAAGCCATTCTTTATGATGTTGGCAGTATTGCTTGTGTACAAAAATTTTGATTAAAAACTACAGGTCAAATAGTGACAGGTTCCAATTTTTTTAAAAAACTCATTTTTTATACTCAATATTTACTTCTTTCATTTCAGTCTTCCTATTTGACTGAAAATCTATTCTGACAGGAATCTCTTTATGTCTTTAACAATACAAATAGAAATGGGCAAGAAATGGAGGTAGTGACAGATTTTATTTTCCTGGGCTCCAAGATCACTGCAGATGGGGACTGCAGCCAAGAAATTAAAAGATGTTTGCTCCTGGGGAGGAAAGCTATGGCAATGTTAGACAGCATACTAAAAAGCAGAGACATCACCCTGCCAACAAAAGTGCGTATAGTCAAGGCGATGGTTTTCCCAGTTGCAATATATGGCTGTGAAAGTTGGACCATAAGAAAGGCTGAACGCCAAAGAATTGAGGCCTTTGAACTATGGTGCTGGAGAAGACTCCTGTGAGTCCCATGGACTGCAAGACGATCAAACCAGTCAGTCCTAGAGGAGATCAACCCTGACCGCTCTTTAGAAGCCCAGATCCTGAAGAGGAAACTCAAATACTTTGACCACCTAATGAGAAGGAAGGACTCACTGGAGAAGAGCCTAATAATGCTGGGAACGATGGAGGGCAAAAGAAGAAGGGGACGGCAGAGAACGAGGTGGCTGGATGGAGTTACTGAAGCAGTTGGTGTGAGCTTAAATGGACTCCGGAGGATGGTAGAGGACAGGAAGACCTGGAGGAACGTTGTCCATGGGGTCGTGATGGGTCAGACACAACTTCGCAACTAACAACAAAAGTATCAGATGGAATACATTGTGTGAAGCCCAGCTTTTTTTTTTTTTTTTTTTTTGGACCTGATTTTAATACATCAACTATTATTGCAGCAACTCATTGATCAGCTCTGTCCTTTGGGCTTCTTTAATGGAGGTTGATCCAGTGTATTTTTTTCCATTGCTGCCTTACTTTGAAATACAGAGTGTGAAAACAATTTTGCATATCTTGCCAACGGGAATTCATTGTGTCATGAGGCATTGCCTTGTTTTTGTCATAAAAACGCAGGCTTCAAGTTCATTTATCTTCTCAGCATGAACTTAGGAAATGCAGTATGTTAAGTTATCCAGAGTCCATAGGGAATTCTGCACAAATTAGAAGTGGTCTAAAAGGAAGTATGACATTTTCTGGCCTCTGAGCTAGTTGTTGTTTTATATAGTTGAGTACAAATCAACTGTTGGTGAGGCCAGTCTTCCAAAAATATAATTCCTCTAAAGTCTTTCATCAAAAAGCTTTTAGTACTGATCCGAGATTTTGATTTTGAAAGTGGCTTTGCTTACAGTTAGTCTTCAAATTCTTTACTCTCCAGCTTTCATTTTAAAAATCACTGTTTTTAACCTTTATAATCCCAAGTCCACGGAGACACAGTTCTTCCCATGGTCTTTAAATGTGGAAAACAAAAATTGTTGCAAACAAATTGATAACTTGATACGCAAGGCTATCTTTTAAATCCAGTTCTGTTGTTTTTAAAGTTTTGATTTTTTAAAATTATTGTTATTTAAGCCATACTTCTTTGATCAATGCTGTTCCATGATATAAATACAAAATCGCAACATGTAGTGAAATTCACTGTAAATTAAATTCACTTGGGGTCCAGTATGGTAAAAATCGACAGGGAGGAAACTGTGACGTGTGAATCATTTTGTCAATTTGTGTCTTTTATCTAAGCAATGACGTCTCTTAGCTTATAAGAAATGTGGAGGCAGATCTTGTATGTGCTATTTCCCATTTAGCCTGTCATTGTCCTCAGGACTGCCAGTTCCCACAATTCCAGCATTCCCTAGGCATCTGTCAGTGTCTGCAAGGAACAAATTTCAAATATTAAAGCATGTGAAAAGACCCACAGGCCAAGCTCCAGTGGTCTCCAGAGAACTGACCTCTAAAATCAACTCTCTGCTGACATTTTCACAGGCTTCTTAAAAGAATTTCTGTAGAGTCATTCCTTTTGGTAAACACTTAAGCTAAATCTCTGTCACTTTTAGTGAGATTTATTAGGGACTCTGTCCCCTTGCTTTAACAAAATAACTAGAAATGCAATTTGATGTCCAAATTTTAACAGTAAAAAAAAAGAAAAAATCATATGGATATTAATATTCAATCTTCATGTAAATTTCCAGACCTTTTTTGTGTGTGGATAAAAACATTGTTTATTTGGAGATCAGTTTAGTATTTCCCCAAAGGATATCACTCAATTCAGGATGTTCCTTTTCCTGAAGTATTAAAAAAAAAGCTTGAGTGTAGCGATTGGATGAATGAAGTTTCAGACATTTTCTGTAAAATGGCTTTTAAGAATGCCATGACATCCTATAAATGACCTAACAGAAAACAGTAACAGGAAATAAACTTCCAATGAGTTGGATTGTTTTTCCTTCATGTGAAAAATGGGTTGCAACTTAATATATTTAACCGAGGCAAGTAAATAAAACGCAGAAATAAAATAGGGCTGTGAATAAACTTGTCGTGAAGATTGCTGGATATTTATGATTGGGCAGAATGGAGAAGCTTGACGTTATGTTCGGTAAGCAAATGTGAGGTATGTGGTTTGTTTGTAAAACACTTATGGGGAAAGCTCATTTAAATGCGACATCAAAGTGAGAGTGGCAGTAGATTTTTTAGACATTTGTCTCACACCATGAGGTCATTGGAATATCATCTTCCTTAGGGCAAATAGCAGCCTGGAGGAGGGAAGATTTTAAACAAGAACTCTGTGTGTGTGTGTGTGAGAGAGAGAGAGAGAAAGAGGGAAAGAAAGAGAAAGAAAGAGAAAGAAAGAGAAAGAGAGAGATTCCTTCTGCTCACAGAACAGGTCTGATTTGTACTATCTATATGTTATGTTTACTGCTTTGGAAGGAAAGCGGGATATTGAACTAATGCCTAGGTACAATAAGCTTTGAAGCCATTGTACTCTTAGTTAATAAAACTAAAATGTTAATTTTTAAAAGCTGAATATTTTTGGTTTCTATCACTCAGTCAAACCAAGAATCTTTTTAGGTTACATTCGTAAGACTTGTCGGAGAAATATTTTTAGAATGTCCCTCTTCCTCATCCCCAATTGAGGAAAGGATGCTGGGTTTTTTTCACATCGGCCTTGTAAAACTTGTGAGTAATAATGTTTCCTTGATAGAAAGTCCCATAATTTGTTAAAAAAAAAGAGAGAGAGAGAGAAATTGATAAGCTTATCTGTTTGGAAAAGAACTTCAAGTATCGGTTTATGGATTCTGTCTAGGATCAGCAGTAAGGTTTGTGTCCTAAGAAGTGGAACTAATTAACTCACAATCAAGAGGTATATAAATCTCCTGTCTGCTGTGTCATCTTTAGCTTTAATTTCATTTAAAAGAGTCTTCTATCAGAATCTTTAAAGTGCTGCTCAAAAGTTGGGAAGTCAGTTTGAGCAATCCTGAGTAATCTCTTTATCTGGAAGGACTCAGTAAGTAGTTTTCCAGCAAATGTCATAGTTGCTCAACCAGTTTCAGCATCTCCGGATGGAATAATAGGTTTCTTTCACGCAGCAGGGTAATCTCTCTTTAGATTGTGTGCCTCCAAATAAATTCTATTATTAACAGACCGAAGCTC